AATACTGTCAGAACTTGACGAAAAAATTCGCAAAGCCGATGTTCACCTTCGAGAGATCAGGATTCGAGAGCGTAATGCCTTAATAATTTGGATAGTGTATTCGTTGATAGCCTACGTCACCTATGTAGTTGGTTATTGGTACTTTGTTTACATGTCAACAGAAGAAGATGGCTGGGACCTAATGAAAGTGGCACCTGTCTTAACAGGTCCTTTCTTTATAGTAATTGGATATAAATTTCTAGCATTATGGTATAAAAGAAAAGAAGCAAATGAAGAAACACAACTTGAACATCTTAGAGCAAAAAAGAAGCTTAAAGTTGAAGAGATGAAAAATAAAACGGGTTATTATACCACACAAATTTTATTGGAACGCTTTGATACAAAGGGATCTGCTCCAAATAGCCCTGTACCTCCACCTGGGCAAAAAGTATCGGTTGGACGACCAGGCCAAGCAATCAATCAAAACTTACGTCAACGTTTACCAAATTCACAAGCGTCACCGGGATCTAATGAAGTAAATGGGGAATTAGGAAACAAAACACCTTTAGGTGCATCTGGTGAGCGCGATATAATACGTTCAGAAGATCGGACTGCAATAACATCAACAACACCAGGTCAACGACGATGGTACGATAAACTTTTGGACGTACTTGTTGGTGAAGATGAACAGAAATATGCTTTGATTTGCAAGAATTGTTTTACATGGAATGGGTTGGCATATCCAGCGGATTTTGATGAAGTTCAATTTTATTGCAAGAATTGTAATTATTTCAATCCCTCTCGAAGAAGTCAACGTGATGGTAACACAGTTAGTGCACCTACCAACAATGTTAATGGGAATAATATCAATAATCTCATTGATCAAATAAATAAACCATCACAAATTTCAGAACCAGATCCAAGACGAGGACGATCAACAACACCAAAACCTATGAGCCGAAATTCGTCATCAGATTCAGAAAAACCTAATGATAAGGATAAAGGTGATGATTATGATGATGATGATGATGGTGTGGCAGTTAGTAAACGGTTGGCATCTAGATCAACAAGTAGGAAACGAAGTAGCCGAAGTAGAGTTTAGAACCGGGTTATAGTAGATCGGGTCACCCGGGTCAAAAATTTACAACTCGGGTCAAAAGATTATATAGTTACTCAGCAAAATCAGGTCAATATATTGAGTGCGATAATATGATAAATATGAAAATTCTTTCCAAGTAACATTTGATAAATTAGCTAAGATAATGTTTTACTGCCAGTAAACTGAGTAATATATTGAATTTTTAGAATTACACCAAAGAGAATACTGATGTATCATACTATAAGATCAAATAGCAATAATTATAAACCAAATAGACATCAGAATTCATCTGTCTGCTTTTTTGTAATATGATTAGTCGATTTTGAGTACCCGTGATCTGGTTATCAGTTAATTCCACTTTATAATAAAAGATTATATCATCCTTTAAACTCCAATTCAGTATCGATAGATATATGTTCTATTAATATTAGCGCAAGTTCACAATTTGAGAAAGCAGTTTGAATCTTTAGATATTGAGTTTTACTAAATTTTTATTTAGTAACAAAGGTGATCGCAAAAGTTTCAACTTCTAAATTATTCAATTTAGTTTTAGTGGTAATATGATTATACATATTGCTATTTATCTGTTTCACTACATTTGCTTGTAGTTTAAAAAAAAATTGTAGTCTTTGGATTTAATGAAAATTATCATGATGAGCAGTATTTACTTTAAATGATTTTATATATTAGCTTAGTAAAGTTTGGATAGTGGTGCTTGTTATTTTTGAAAAATATTAGATTATTAAAAAAAGGTTAAAATTAAAATAGAATATATATATATATATTAAAAAACTTGAGCAACCGTGCTAGTACTTTATTAGATTTTATGTATTTTACATGTTATACAGTATACACTTGATCTAAACTAAGCCTATCCGGTTACTCGAATAGCACCTAAATGTGATCACTTGCACTATCTTACAATACTACAGTATAACCAAGGCCAACACTTGCAATCAGAACGTATCATTAAACTATTATATTCATATAGATTGTAGAGTAGATGTTGCTTGGAAACTTCCTAACGGATATTCAGATTTTCTACTAACATGTTACCCAGGTCTTAATCCTCTAATGTATTATTATATTTAGACAATCTATGTTTACTACTTCTTTTACTGTACTTTTGTTATCTTATACAACTTCCAAATTGGTAATTCTTGAAATAATTGATCTTTATGATCTAATTTGGTGCATCCGAATTGTTTTTATTTGATTTTAAAAACAAAGTTTATTATATTTGGTTTTTATTAAAGATAAAAATATTCAATCAACCTTTAGGTTTTTAGTTATTATTACTAGAGTTGTAAGGGTTGTAAATTATATACTTAACTTTATATGTAAGTTATATTCAAAATTTATTTATTTATTTATTTTTTTTAAGGTGAGGTTTTGCCTTTATCTTTATTAACAATTTGTATTGAAAATCTACAAGAGGTTTCTTTGGCCAAAGTTATATTTTACAAATGTTTATACAAGAATGAGACTCAGACTATTTTATCTGTAATCTAAACCTACTAGAGTGGTTAAAACTTATCTAGATTTGATAATTTATTATATTGTTAGTTGGTGTACTATATTTAATCTATTGATCTATAAAAATATTTTTTTAATAGCTTTTTTAAGAGGTAGATATATATTATCAGTGTTTTGTTAATCTGGTAGGCTACAAAGACAGCTATATTGTTACAGGGTTGTAGCTTTCTTAGTAAAATATAACCAAGTAACAAGGTCACTCAGTGCAGTGATTGACTTTTGCAAATATACATGAAGTGGATATATAGTTGTTCACTTAACTACACAGCAGGAGGCAAATGGTTCGAGATAGTAACAATATAAAATAACTTTATTTTATGCAAGAATACAGAATAAACCTTGTCTGTAGAAATTACCTTAGAGGTGAAATATTATATTTATAAGAAAAGTATAAAGAGAACAGAGTTTAGGTGAAGTATATAAACTTATAAAATTGGCAGAGAAGGGAAAAGTTACTCTTTATATATCTTTTTACCTATAGAGAGGATGCATAATGCATAGTAAATGAGTAACATTTGGCAGGTAAAGAAGAGGAACTTGTGTAGGGAAAGTAGAGGATTGTGTTGGATGAAAAAAGTGATTATACTGGGTGAAGTAGGTGAATATAAACATTACTCATTATGTTTATAGTTTGTGAGAGGGAACTAGATAACAATATTTTGTATTTAAAACATTTAGGGTTTGTGTAAGGAAATTAGAGGCTTGTGTGGAGAAAGAAGGTATTCATGTAGAGGAAGAAGGTGAACTTGTATTACTTTCTTATATAATACTTTTGTGTAACTTCAAGAACTCTTGTATAACCTTGTGTAATCTAAGGTCATGTGAGGTCATGTGATTGAACCACACTTCTAATAGCCAATCAAAATGTTTCTATATTAATACTATATAATATTTTAAATAAATATATCTAATATTTTAACTATATAAAAA